GAAGCGCTTTTCTCTCAAACTTTTCATTGTTTTACAAATTGTTTCAAACTTTTCATTAAATGATTAATTAATTATCGGATTAATTAGAAAATGGCTTTAATTGAGACTCACTTTAGTTATAAACTTCATAATAATAATCAGTTTTATGGACATTGAAATGCACTAAACATAACACAATAATAATAAACTGAAAGCTAATGTAGTTTTTGCGCCAAAAATATTTGAATTTAATGTCAAATGAGCGCAAAGTTTGCATCAAATGATGAAAACTTGAATAAAACTAATGTTTCGGTACTTTAAACACAATTAAACATAAAATACACAAAAATTAAATCAAAAATAATTTATTGTCAAAAATATAAGAATAAATACATTAATAAATGGTTTATGAAATGATTTATTGAGAAAAAGAGACAAATAATGAGAAATTCAAGAGTTGTTGAGTGAAAGACGATAAGTGATCCTCAGATGTATGGAGTGATTGGCCTTAAGAACAACCAAATGGTAAATCACAAGACAAATGAGAGAATAGTGTCTATACTTTTCATAGCATACCAATCATCACAACATACAGTAAACCCAATGAATGATAAAAATTTTATTAAAAACAATGAAAACTAATGGAAAGACACGACAAGAACTGATCCTCAGATGCATTGAGTGATTGGCCCTAAAAAGGGCCGTTTGTGTGAAGAGTGGTGCGAAGGCCTGTCCCCTCATTCATGTCTTCTTTATGTCTTCTTTATGCCTTCTTCTCGGTCTTCTTGGGCAGGAGTACGGCCTGAATGTTGGGCAGAACGCCTCCCTGAGCGATCGTCACACCGGACAGCAGTTTATTCAACTCCTCGTCGTTTCTGATGGCGAGTTGCAGATGACGGGGGATAATACGGGTCTTCTTGTTATCTCGGGCGGCATTGCCGGCCAACTCGAGCACCTCAGCCGCCAAGTACTCCAACACAGCGGCCAAATAGACCGGAGCGCCGGCACCGACACGCTCTGCGAAATTGCCTGCAATGGGAAAGGGATGCAGTGGTCAGTCGTGTGTCATATAGTATGGTGTGAGAGAAGACATACCTTTGCGGAGCAGACGATGGATACGTCCGACGGGGAACTGGAGTCCGGCTCGGGATGACCGGGACTTTGCCTTCGACTTGACTTTTCCTCCTTTTCCTCTTCCGGACATTATTTGCAAAACTGATGGCAAGTATTGAAAGTATTGAACGGCAAGTGATCTCCAAATGAGTCAATATTTTGAACACTTGTGACAAACTCTCAGTGCTTTATATACCCCTAAACTGGTGTCCAAATCACAAACCAATGACAGCGCGTGTGAGTCCACGTTGACGTTCGCCACCAGACATGCACTGCATTGCTATTGGTTTGTGATTTGGAAGCGCTCGACTATCACTTCCCGGGAGATCCAGACCGCCGTCCGTCTCCTCCTTCCCGGAGAACTCGCCAAACATGCCGTCTCTGAGGGCACCAAAGCTGTCACCAAATATACCTCAAGCAAGTAGACCGCCGATGACGCTCAAGGACATCCTTGTCCACTCAAACGGCCCTTTTTAGGGCCAACACACATCTGAATACAAGGACTCACTATTACATGCCTTTAATTTTATTTATTAAATAAATGCTTTATATTTAAGTAAATTGTGTTTAGTATTGATTTAATTGTTCAAAGCATTCAAACGAGTGTTTTGTGTGGTTTAGGCGCCAATGAGTGCCCACTCGTGAGCGCCAACTCTTGCCAATACTTCTCCGTTTGATTTGAGCGCTAAATGTGTCGTTATTTTTGAACATTTCGTTTGTTTTGCATTTGAAACACATTTTCATTGAATTTGTCGTAAGATTTAAATCTTGGATTCAATTGCTATAATCAACACAATTATGCATCGCTTGTATCAGTTGGCTGTCAGACTCTCGGATCTAATTAATGTCCAAATCTTGGGATTTAATAGAAGTAAGTGTTATTGAAAGGTGTGGTTGTCTTGCATTTCAATTGATCCCAATTTGATTGTGCAGTGAATCCCATGTTTGTGATGAATCTGGAGAAGCAAATGAACTCAAGAGACACATCCAGTGAAAGGCATTCATTGATTGAAGATATTATGAGGAATGGATTGCTTTTGGCGGTACCGAAGAAGAGGAGAACTGTTGAGAAAAGACTTATTCGTCGGTTCGGTGTCGAGGGATATGAAGACACATCTCGGATGATAAGACCCAAACATAATGTCATTGTCTGCGACCAATGCGGGCATTACCACGAATTGCATACCATTTGCGGCCATTGCTATCAACGAGTCAAAGAGGAATCTAATCTTATTTTAGAGCAAATCAAGAAATGTTTCGTTTATTCGGAACCAATTGAAGAAGAGGTACGGATTTGCTATAAGAATGAGAGTCTTCGTGACGACAGCGGGAGTGAAGTGAAGAGAAGACGAGTGGTGGAAATGGATCGCCAGAGACCCGAATGGTTCAGTGATAACCTGTTGTCCAAAAGTGTAGGCAATAAATGGATTGAAACTCATCCGATAGTCAGAGAAGAAGAGCCCAAAGTGTTAACAAAAGATTAATTCATTTTATTTGATATCAGTTTACAATTCAAAGAATAAAATTGTTTGGATTTCAATAAAACATTGTTTATATTTATATTAATATTAAAATCAAATTAAAATTAGAATAACTGTTCGAAAGGCCCCAACATCTTGAGATCTGTTAGAAGTAATTAATTGAATAACAATTTATATGATATGATATGCAGTGTATATAAGTTTACTTGTTTTTTGTTTAATAATCAGTATTTTTGTCTCTTTAGGCACTTATTTACTTAATTCAGTCATAGATTAGTAAGAATTGCACCAAAAGTTGAATAATTAAATATAAATCAAATGAATACTAAATATAAATTATTTTCAAAACTCAGAGAAACAAACATTTCTATAGAAAAGGAATTGTTATGAAAACTAATGGTTTCAAACTTTAAGTCAATATAAGTTATATTTCTATTAAATTATATAATATTTTGATTTTTTGTTATTTCGTTGTAAATAATAATATTTATCTCTTTATTTCCAATAATATGACCACAATTTCAATACCCCTGGTATTCATCAGGAGGTCTATTGCCATATTTTGCCCTATGAATTGTGGCCAACTTTTCGCGCGCCTCTACGAGTTCCCTCTCCTTCTTGAGGATCTCTTCACGAGCGATGATCTCCTGAGCGATTCCGGGCACACGTCTTGTGCTGATGAGAATACTCTGTTCGTCGTCGTGTTCAATGGCCTGTTGTGCCGAACGAACCAAATTGTCGGTCGCTTTCTTGACCGCATTTCCGGCCGCTTGTAGTCTTCGCATCGCCTGCGAGTCCGAGCCAGCCTTCACTTTACAGGCGACCAGCAGTTGGGCAGTAGAACCGGCCACTTGTTTGGCCGCAGAAATCAATTTCTCTTCGGACGCCTGTCCCTGAACCAATGCATTCGCCGCTTCTACTAAACTATGTGTAGCGGCGGCCACGTGTCGGGCGGCAGAAATGAGACCATCGGACCACTGGCCGTCATCCGAGGCGTATTGTGGCTGTCCCTCCACTTTTCCGGCCAACACTAACTCTCTTTGAGCGGCAGAGGCGGCCCTAACGAGTGCAGCGGTTGCGACGGTTATCGATTTGGCCGCTTCTAAAATCATTTCATCGAAATTCATCTCTTCGTGCGGTAACTGAAGACAATATTATTGATTAAAAGCTTTGCTTTCATTTTATTTTAAAGTATTGTAATGTTTATTAGAAATTGAAAGACAGAGTGGTTTATATCAATAGATTCGAGTATATGTCTGATTCTCGGTTGATATCATCACCACAACCAAGAATATCAAACATATCTCGAAGATATGACATAATCGGATGCAATCTTAATGTGAAGTCAATAGTAAAGGTATGATTAGTGAGAATATAAATGAAGGCATATCTCACTCGAATGCTTGTCCTCCTGGGCTGAAGACTGGCCAACTTCTTGGCGGCCGCATCGATAGAAGAGGCGGCGCCCAACAGCTCATTCTCAGCGATAACAGTGGGGTCGTCGGGATCGACCCAATCGGAGCCTTTGAGAAGTTCAGCGCTGCTGACAATCTCTGTGACTGCGGTGGCAATAGTTCGCGACATTATAACCAATTGACTCTTTGCATCGCTTCCAGGCGTCGGTCGACTTATAATTTGGTGAACCATTTGCAAGAGCTCTCTGTAATGATAGCCACAACTTCTTCCTGACTCTAACACTCGAGTTCTTAAATCATGCGTTTCTGCAGAATTGGCCGCAGCTTTAGTTGTAATAAGTAAGTCATAAATGGCTTTACGGCCCATATTTGCCGCGACGATCACATCGTCCTGTTTGCCACTCGTTCCCGCGGCCACTGCTTTAGCCGTCGCTAAAGTTACGGGTTTTGTCACTCGAACTAAATCTTCGGGCGAAGCCTTTCGAACGGTTGGCATTTCTCCCGAATCGAAGGCTCGGATTTCTTGTCCGATGGCTTCGATTGTCGATTCAAGAGCTCGAGTTCCTCTTTGATGCTCGTCTTCCACGGTCTTAACCGTCTTAAGCAGTGAAGTCACGTTCGTTACCATTACCTATAATTTGGAGATTATAAATCCAATTCAAGAAATCAATGGACAATAATGACTGACTTTTGCGGATTCCTTTAAGTACATCATAGCCGGATCATTGATGCTCTTTCCGGATGCAGTCTTTGTCGATCCAATAAGTTCGCCGAGAGCTGTGGCCACGTCTTTCACAGCATTTAATAACAATACCTGTGCTTCAGAATTGGTAGACCCCAGAGAGGCGGCGCCTAATTTGACCACTTCTGACAACTGCATTATAGTCGTGACGGCGTTCTGTGCGGCGACCGCTAACTGTTCCTGACTGGAGGCGGCGCCGGCAACCAATGTCTTTGTGTCCTCCACTAAAGCTTTGGCTGTTTTAAGTATAGCCTCCCTGTGGTCGGCAAACGTCTCGTTTTCATTCTCCGCGTTAAGAGTTCCAGAGGCGGCGAACATAATAGTTGTGTCCAAATCACCGATAATTCCGCTCACAGTTGAGGCCGCATTAATACAGGCCTGAGTTCCACGAGAACCGGCCTGTAGTGCCGCCAACACGTACGACACCTTTTCAGACACCATTTTCGCGTTATCTGTGAGCTCTCGCTGACTATATGAGTCCCCAGGATTTGCCTGACACTGACCGGCACTTTTGGTTATGTCTATACACGCCGTTCCCAGTTCTTGAACACTACCTTTGATACGATTGGCGACCTATAAGTCAATCATTGAATCAATAAGTTTTAATGTATAATAATTTTGTGCGAGAACAACTGACCTCTACATTACTGGTCGCACCGATTACTCCATTCACATCATTGGCTAGATTTGCGTAATTGTGGGACAGATTTGCAGCTAAAGGACTCAAGTGAGCGACTTGTGTCGTCGACTTTCCAACCTTTCAATCAAATAGAGTTTAAGTAAGGAATGAATAGGAGTGCAGGGATGGCATACCATGTCCTGTGCAATTCTGGCGATTTCTTTGGCACAGTTAACCATTCGTGTTTGATAGTCAACATAAGTAGATCCGGATGGCAGTGTAGATGTGGTTGAATATGAATAATGCCTTTCGTCTATTTTGGTAATAGATTTGGTAATGGATTCAATAATACCGGTCACCTGTCCGGCCTCAGTGGCTGCCGACTCGAGCGTATGTAACAAGTCTTGAAGCGCTTCTTTCATGGATTCACTCGACTCATCGATCTCTGCGTGAACTGAAGAGGCCTTTGAGTTTCCGCCGCATTCTTTGACAGAATATATCAACTGAAGGGCACATTCGGTGATAGTCTTGGTTTGGTCCAAATAATTCATTTGTTGCTTCGAGTTCTGTGTCTTAGACGCGCATCCGATTGCGTTTTGAATCAAAGGATCAAAATAGGAAACCAATTGAGTGACAGAATGGCCTAACTTTTCGGCCTCTGCTTTGCCAGACATGCGAACCGCATCGATATGTTCGTAGATCTCTGTGGCCGAAGCACTGGTCGCTTCCCTGAAGCCCTTAAGGGTATTGTCTTGACGTGACTCTAAGTTTTGACTAATAATATTGAGCGACGACTGATCCAACTCACGAATACAAGCGCTCAACTTCTCGACCGCTTCGTCGCACTCTCTCTGTCCCGGAGAGGCGTCTTTGATAGAAGTGACCAACTTTTTGATGGAATCGCTCACATTCTTGCTGTGATTGGCCAGTGTTTGCCAACCGGGAGGGTCTTTAGGGTTAAGCGCCAGTGATTTGGCGGCGATTATCATATTACAAGAGGCATCTATTATGGACTTTCCGTATGATGTGATCGGTTCCTGAGAGGAACGGGCTTTGACACTGATTTTGGCAGGAATTGGCGCAAAGTCTGGGGAACTCGCGAAGACAGTCAAGTTCTCTACGGCTTCGAGCAGTGGTTTCGTTGCTTCGGCGCAGTTGTTGTGGTTGTACTCAGAGCTCGGGTCCTGATCTAAGGTCTTAATCTCTTTGATGAGACTCGCGGTGGCATTCGCCACATCTTTGGCCGACTGAACAAAATGTCTTTTCGCGACCGGATTTGTTGTTTTGGAAGACGCGACTCGACACGAGTTGCAGAGCGCCGACGTGTGTTTGGCAATCACTGTGGCCGCCGACAAGATCTCCGGCTTATTACTGGAACGGGTGGCCAACTGCTGACAGGCCGACTGTATGGCTTCATTAGCCTTATGGAAGGCATTTATGTCGACCAGACCTGCTCTGCCGGCAACACTTGACGGGTCAGACGAGCCGACCAGATATGCCGCCTGAGCAGCGCCTTCAAGGAGACCACAAATGGAATCGGAGGCGTCTTTCACTGAATACCCGAACTCTTTGTGTTCGTTCTTCTTGGCGTGATTTGCGATACCAGTCATTGCGTCTCCGAGTCGTCGACTTCTTTCGGTTACGGTTTCCAGACATTCAAAATAAGTCGAATCATTGATGGGTTCACTCGGATTGTCGAGCAGTGATCGCATCATTTGGATGTTTCTGATGGCAGAATCGCATTCCTTCTGTCCCGGCGCTGAAGAACTGCAGACATTCACCAAATTATTGATACTTTCAGTGACAGAGCGCGCAGAAGAGGCCAATAGATTTCTGGCGTTCGGGGCGTTTGGGTCGACAGACACTGATTTGGCGGACACTAAGAGTTTACTCGAACACATCGATAGTGTCTTAAGACTGGACAGCATTTGGGAGCGATTGTCATAATCTTTACTCTGACCGGCGATTTCGAGGCCGCACTCAAAAAGTTCATTGAATGCCGAACTGTATTGCTTGGAACAGTTGGCCAAAGAACTGGGACTTCGTGAGCCCTCGATTACATCAGAAACCGATTCATTAAGTTTTGTCGCAGCGATCGTCAGATTATTCTGCAATTCAGAGTAGGATTTGTGAGAAACGGGTAGTTCTTTGCCAATGAGTTGTGTGGCGTCTGTTATGCTTCGAATCGATTCGTCGACATCTCTCTGTCCGGGAAGACAATTGACACAATTGTTCAGCGAATTGGACACACTTTTAGCCACTTGAGTGAGTCTTTGCTGCCGTTCCCTGTCGTGCGGGTTATGAAGAGCCCATTTGGTCTCTTCAAACAATAGGATTGATTTCTCCAACACATCCCTTGCGTTGTCGATGACTCGCATTTGAACGTCTCTTTCATTGGAAGTGGCGGCCACTCCTCTCACAGCACTCGTCAGGTTTTTCAGTGCATTCGAGACATCCCGTCCCGCATGACCCGTGAAGTTCTCATTGCCCTGAGAGGCGGCGGTCAACAGTTGAGCCATAGAAGAGCCCACAGACTTACACGTGGTATTCAATTGCGAAGAACAGTACTCCAAGTTTTCGCCCGGAAGTGGTTTGAGATAATAATTAATGGCAGCTTTCCTGCATTCGGCCAACTCTTTGTCGAGTTCTCGTATGGACTCAATCGCGGCGTCGATTTCCATCGAAGAACTGCAAGCGTCCTGTGCTTTGGATAGATTGAGCTGTAAATCAGTCAACGCTTGGGCTAATTGTTGCGATGATTGAGTCAATTGAATGTTAGACGACTGGTCTGTTACGGTCGGAATGACACTCTTGGAGGTGAACACCAATCTCTGTGCCGGAGATATGAATAGATCGCATGCATTGATAAGCTGTAACTGTTTGCTAGAATTGTCGGCCTCTGTCTGAGTGCCTCTAATTCCCTGAACTACTTTCGGAATAATGTCCGACACATCTCTGCAGACTTGGATCAGCTCTTCTTGAGTGGTATCATTGGTATTGTAAGGACCGCATCCGTGTGCGGCAGCAATGTTTTGAGTGGCCATAGCTGTGGCGTGTTTGGCACTCGCCTCCAGACGAGTAATCACTTTGCGTTTCAGTGCATTACTCGCCGCAGTATTTGTTGCGTTTCTCAGGTCTTCGGCCGCCCTCTTAAGAGCCGCCTGAGAGTCAGAGTCGTGCGGATTCGTTGCACACCCTTTGGCCGCTTCGACTAGTCGTGAGGTCGCGTCAGCTAACACTTTGGCCGCTGATAACAAACGCTTCTGGAGGTCAGAGTCTGGTTGAGTCTCTGCCTGTCCTTTGATGTTATGAATGAGTTGTGCGGTCGCCTGCGCCAGGATTTTCGCCTGTCTTACCATTTCTGTTGCGTCACCCGTACTGCTAAACAAACGGTCGGTCGCGTCGAGGATAGTGTCGACACTAGCGTCGTGTTCGGTCGGTCGTCGGCCCCTATTATCGCTCAGACTTCTCACGTGATTCAATAGATTATTGAGCGCTTGGGTCACATCGGCGGCCGCGCCCTTCAAGTCTCCAATAAGACGTGTGTCGGTGGAGGAGTCCTGACACACCCTAACTATGTTCTCAACAGATTTGGCCACTTCTTTGGCGGCTTCAATGATCTGTTGCTGACAATTAGGATTACTGATGGTCGGCGCCACCACCTTAGCGCAGGCGACTAACTGGGAAGTGGCTAAAGCGCATTGAGTCGCAGAACTAATGACTCTGTTTTGTGCCGACTGGTCGTCACAACGAGACGCCACGTCTTTCGCCTTTAAAACCAGATGTGCGGCCGCATTGGCCACGGGTTTCGATAGGCTTAACAGCATATCAGCCGCTTCTCTGTCGTACTCATCCTCTTCGCCTATAGTGTACAGCAAATTAGTGGTCGCTTCGCCCACTTTGGAGGCGGCATTCAGAAGGCTCTGTCGCGAGGCTTTGTTCGTCGGTTCGGCCGCTTTCAGTAACTCAGAGAAAGCGCTGCACAGGTTTCTGGCGGCGTCTATAAGCCGTTCCCCTTTGTCGTCGTCGTCCATAAGGGCTGCAATCACTTTGACGTCGCGCGACATCTCCGGTAAGTTTGTGCTAATAGTATGAATGGCTGCGCCGAGAGCCGGGTGATCCAGTTCATCCTCAGGCACTGACGTAAGTGTAATCACCTGAGCTGTGGCCGCATTCAATGCCGCCATTTGTGACGAAACCGTCTCTTTCTTGACGTCTAACTGATTCTGTTTCCATCCAAAGTCGGGCCCATATTCAGGGATTTTAGCCTTAGTTTCCAATTCTTTAAGTGCTTTTTGGACGGCGTCCTGACCCACACCTATTGTCGAGTGTAGAGCTCTCTGGGGTTCAGAAAGTCCTGTTTGAAGGTATTTTGGATGTTGTGCTGTCATAAGAGGCGACTGTTGTACCGGCGCTCGACTTTGAATTGATGTGAGCTGTTGTTCCGGCATTTCTTTGATGCTTATAGTTTGCTGTCCATTAGTTCCGGGTCTTATGATACCAGGAAGAGCTAAGTCTTCAATAATAGGTTGAGAGGGTTTCTGTGCCGGTTGGTGCTGGAGAATGGTTGCCTTCGACGGTGAGATACTGTCCTCAACCATAGTCGAGCCCTCGTCGCCCTCTATGCCGAAGTGATCCTTCGCTTTCTTACGCCTTAGGATAATATCAATATATCCTGCGATTAGTTGCGATATCTGTTCGCCTTCTGTGGTCTGAACCGAATAATAAGAGTCAGAATAGTCTCCAAAATCCAATGTAAAACTGTTGGGAGAAGCGGCCCATCGCTTAACAGTAGTCAACGGCCACGTCTTCATTATCTCTTTAGTCTTCTCATCCAAACGAAGAACACTGTCTTTAGTGACGCCCAACAATCGCGGAACCAATTTGTTCTTCCCTTTCATCTTCTCCTTAACCAAGAAGAAAGTGACGCCATATGTGCTCAGAGAACGGGCCAGTCCTACGTACTTGACCTTAGCCTCCAACTCAGACTCTCCGATATGTTGTCGGTGTTGAGCCAACACTTTCTTTTCAATTGCTTTATCTCTTCGCGAGTAATCTCTTGGAAGGAATTCTTTGAGGTCAAGAAATCCCGGTTTGTGTTTACTCTCAACATAATCACCGAATTGGATCTGACATTGAATGCCAGCGAACTGACACGACTCCTCTAGTGTGACGGGATGTGTGCCGGCAATGATTGCATCCCTGGCCTGAACGTACAGCAGATTCAGTTGCACCGGATCTCTAGAATCGATGTTCTGATCCGAGAAGAAGAACTTTCGTCGCAATAGAAGAGTCTCCTCTTCATCGATACCCTGTTCTCTCAATGTCTTTGAGTGGTCGACCCAATTGAGGTCATCATCTGTCTTAAGTTTCTTCTTCAACTGTTCCATCTTCGAGTCCAAAGTCTTGTCTTTCTCCAGAGTTTTCGTCTTATCCTTTCTCCTTAAAGTCAATGTTCCGGTGGAGGAAAGGGTTGCATCCCTGAGCTCTTCGGGGAAGTCTCTGACAAGAGAGTACTCGTCATGATTTGTGATGCCTTCCAATCAAAACAATTCAATACAATTCAATGAAAACTAATTGAAGACAAAAGCAATAAATAATGCAATGAATGCAAGAAGTGATACCTATTTTAGTGCAAATAACGACCATTAGGTTAGCGACGGGTTGGCTGTCATCGACTAAAACCGTTTTGACAGATCCGTCGAGCATTCGGACCCTAAGAGTTCTCATTTTTCTTCTATATTCCAGTAAATCCTACGACAAAACGACAAATAAATTTATTAATCTAATTGAGTTAATGGACTCAACAGTGGGGGATGCAGTGCTGAGATAGTGAGGGCAGCGCCGCATCCCATCCCATCCCATCCTAACTATATATTAATGTTTTGCGCATTCTTTCGACAATATAATAGCAAAAAATCAATAGTTTTCATAACTTTGAGCCAATGAGAGATCAGTTGTCTTATAGCGTAAAATAAAATTAATTTATTTGATTGATTTCTAATGTCTTAAAGAAAATTTTTATACGACTTTCATCTGAATTAATGGCTTTTGTTTCTCAAACTCCAGATTTGTAATTAATCACAACTATTGCTGTATTTAAGTATTAAGTGATTATTGATAATATGAATGCAATACTCACTCCATTCCTAAGCAGATAGTACTCGAGAGAGCGTCCGGGCTCTAACCAAACGCCTTTCTTTGGGTCCTCGTCTGTTAGGAACAATCCGTAGTCTTTGGCTGTAATCGAGAATCAATGCATGAATCGAGTGAAGGGTCGAGAGGGAGGAATGGGTGCAGTGGGGGAATGGGAGCAATGGGAGCAATGGATGCATACGTTGTCCAATGTTTGCTTCAGTGATCTTGTCTTTGATGAGACGACAGGCATCGTAGACCATAAGCGAGGGCTCGAATTGCATAGTCTTCACCACATTCTTGTCCGCGACACTGATTTTCAGTGAAAGCGTTGCCATTTTGGACAGTCGTGTCTCTATTCACTCTTATCTGCGATTAAATGGATTCATAAATCACTGAATGAATGAAATCAATAAAACAGTTTGGATTGAGTTATAGTTAAAGGTTATTGAGTTCTCGACATATCTGTACTCATAATAAACAAAGTTTTATTGTTTGCAGAGATAGTGTCCACTCAGTTGTCATTTTATTGCCGTTTGTTTAGCAAACTTTCACTGTCTGTCCGTTTACTCATTCACTCGGAGTTATATTACTCTTCAATACATGTAAAATATTGAAAATATTATTTAAACTAAATAAAAAGAGAGGAGAGGAGAGGGATAGCATATTAAATTAGTTTTGTTTGCGGCGAAAGTAGCCTTATTGACACGCGAGTTATCTAGAGTACATATAGACAGTACTCTCGGTTTGGCTATCAATTCGATACAGGAATACAGGAATCGGCACTTCAATGGTCTAACCATAGGACTACTGCTCCTATACTGCAGTGATTCCACTCGCAAACACAATTAGCACTTCATTTCATTCAATACTATTTTGTTGATAGCATTTTAAGTGAATCATTAGTCTTGATATCAAATTAAATGTATTTCTGTTTTACAATTATATTGAAGACAATTTGGAGGAAACCCTCTCTGACTCCTATCTATCGTACACTTAATTAAGAGCTTTATATTCATGCGAAACACTCGTCGAAAGAGATATTTGGAGTTTAAATTAAAAATATTGATAAAACAATTAAGTAATTGAATTATAATTGTTATCCAACGCCGAGCATAGAGTGTAATAATAAATGGATTGAATAATTTAGCAATTGAATAATTGAATATAATAAGCAAATGGTGGGTTACATAAATTTGTGGCGATTTGTGGTAAATTTGGTCCCAAAAAGATGTCTTAGCGATAGCGTGGGATTCATTTCCTATTATAGATACTAAACTCAAAGCCTTATACAGAATAACGCAAAGCCTTCAACTGTTTGCTTAGTTTCGCCAATCGATGCCAAACTATAGCCAAACATTACAATGGTTTGAAACCTAATCGCCGGCTTGGGGGGCTTGGGAGGATTGGTAAGTGTAGTGTATAAGTGATTTGTGAGCATTTGAAAGTATATTAATAGTGAATAACAATATAAAAATGAAAGTTACAATTGTTTTTTGTGCGGATTTCCTATGAAATTGGTTTTAACACAAGTTTAGAGTGTAATACACCGTATATTACAGTGAAATGTAGTTTGTCTCATCATTTTTATACTAATAATCTGTCGATACTTTCAAAACAATATTCATTACATTTTAACGTATAATTTAATTTATAATCAAGTATAATGTCTAAATATAAATGAGTAAACAATTGCGAAACTATTTGTGAATATAAATATAAACTCTATTTTTGTAAATTTTAGTTTATTTTTAATTCAAACCCTAATTAACGATTAAAATACCGAAATATATGTTTTGCCATTAATTTTGAGTGTATTTTAAGTGATGGACACAAAATAATTGGAAATAATTGACAGGTTTATAGTTTAGGGCTATTATTGTCAACAGATTTCACTTGCAGTACGACTACTGCACCAAAAGTTGTGTTGTTTTGGTGAAAATTTTCGCCCAAATGTAGTGTTTTGTGTTTCATTATAATGAACTAAAAGTTTATGAAATGAAAGGCAAGTATTGAAAAGTCAGACCTTTTAGTGGACAGAGATTAGCGACCGATTGGAGAAGAGTTGAATAGTATGTAAGAAATGGACAGAAATTGTTGTTATGATTGAACCCAATGTGTGAGAAATGAAAGGCAAGTATTGAAAAGTCAGACCTTTTAGTGGACAGAGATTAGCGACCGATTGGAGAAGAGTTGAATAGTATGTAAGAATACCTGTCTTTAACAACAATACTAACTTGGGTTACACACTCGTTACTTACTTAGTCACCTAACTCACTACCAAACTCACGTGTGTGACACTCGTGTTCAGTCTCGTGTCTGTGGTGTCCGTGCCTGACACTGTTCAGGCAATACTACTCATACTAATTGCTCTCCAATGCATACATGGCTGTAGATACCAGTACTGGCAAACAGACTCAGACTCAGTGCGAGGCATATATGCATACATTGCATACATTGCCATACAGTTTGCCTTAACTCTAACCAACACTTGAGTTTCTAATAGGAGTTCCTATCACTCTATCACTTGGAGTTTGCTTATAGTGGGAGTCGTATTGAGCACTCGGATAGGGATCGTAATACTAGGCCTGCGATAGTTACACTCTCAGCACTCGTCTCCGTGTCGGTGAGGGTAGCCTTCTGGCTGGGGGGCCGTTTGAACTTGAGTACAGGGTATGTCACCCAGCTGTGTACGGTATGTAATGTAGGGACGGTAGTCTCGTGTCATATCTTAGTCTTAGTTGACTATCACTTGTGTCACACCCTATGCTTACTCTAAGAATATGGCGCTTAAGACTCAGTGAATCGCTTCCGATCTCCACATAAGAGCTATGATCTCAAGTGAGACATAGTTCGTGGTATTGTTTGCAAGGGTTTGTCAATTAATATTGAGACCAGAGCTAAGACCTGATGAAAGTATTGGTGTTTGAGATGAGTGGTGTGTTTGAGAGGTATAGTAAAGCTAAGCCTAAACCTGACACCAACTCATTGAGTATAATGTGGAAAACGGGACAATCCTTATATAGACATGAGGTTTGACTCTTTGGCACAAACAATCATTTCGACACACATTTGGATTTTACATTCATTCACTCGTTTTGTCCCAATTCTTGTCTCAATGTCTTCACGAATTTGATTAACAGTCCATTCATTGAAGATTTCATTAAATTAGTCTTACTTTAGTTTCCAGTAATTCATAGTCAATACTAAATTCATTTCAAACAATTTACTAGTTTTTCGTCAAAAGAGTTTATGTATTGAATGAGAAAATAGTTTTACATATCTTTTAATTATATTAAGTGATCCATAGATTGTATGGACTCTTAAAGTATACTATTATTCACATTCAATGAACAGTTCAGTTATGACAGCAATACATGCTTTCAATGAATACAATTCGCTTTTATTTTATCACAAATGTATTAATGCATAAATCTCTCTCTCTCTCTCTCTCTCTCCTCTCTCTCTCCTCTCTCTCTCCTCTCTCCTTTCTCTCTCTCTCTCTCTCCTCTCTCTCCTCTCTCTCTCTCTCTCTCCTCTGCTCTCGTGCCTCATATCGACTGAAAAGTTTGTGAGCCCTAAGTGTGAGCAATGTTTAGGATGGAGCGCATCACTACTTGTGATCCAATGGTTGTGTGTCTGGGCATCGCATACAAAGCCCATTGAATGCCTTCCCATCTCTGCGTCTCTTTTGCACTGTTTGTGAATTTTGTCTGCATTTCGCTCTACCATTCATTCACTCATAAGACATAACATTTCCGGACAATACATATTGTGAATGACTGTAAATCATAGAGTCATAGAGTGATGCGGGGAATGGGATGTTGTGCTGAGAGTAGAGTAGTGTGGAGATGGAGGGGATGTGTTGGGGCGCTGAGCAAAAGGACGCAGTGATGCACACATTGGGCAACAACTCAAAGATGTCGAGCAAAGCATTAGTTCTTTCATAAAATGCCAAAACGGGGGGAAATAAAGTGCTGTCGATATAGAGTTGAACGGAGTTTGGAGAATAGAGTACAGAATAGTACAGAATAGCACAGAATATATGCAAAAATCTTGGCCCGACTGTAAGCACTGGTAGTGATATTAATGTAACTTTTCCTGCAGTGATTCAATGATAGGAACCGATGAATCTTAACTACTGTCACATCGTTTTGTCAATTGAACCGAAAAATGTGTTTTTAGAGACAATTCCAGATTTGTTTCAATTAGTTTCCATTCAATAGAGCTGTTGATGTAATTTATTTATAAAATTTTCATTTCTCCTCAAAATTAAATCATTAATACTGGAGTGAAGGACTGGAGGAACAGTAGTGTCAAGTAGTGTACCGTACACTAGAGTAGGTCTGAGTTGTGAGAGAAGTGCAGAACTGCTAGAATACAGATCTCGTGTCTAATAGAAAGGCATTCATTTGTCACGTCCGACAGTATTTAAAATAATGCCATTCCTTAGGATAGCATTGATTTCTATTATATGGTCTTCTCTGCAGTGGATATCGTTATCCGATTGCAACCATCGCTCAGTCAGAGACTGCAGACATAAAATGCCTGCAATTGGAAGTGGAGTTGAGCACCAGTAGCAATGGTAGAGCACAACAGCATCAATTGATCAGGATATAAGGCGCCACACTTATATCCACTCTTACCGAATTAAAATGTGATCTCGTCCCACTGGCGCCTACATCTTGCAGTCATGGCAACGCTCACGACTGGAGTTAAGCAAAGACTGCATCAAAAGAGCTGTTATACTGTTTTGCAAACTTTTGTTCAACTCATGATAAATGTGCAGAAGTGAAGAAGTGGTGCACTTTCTTCATTCAATTGATCGCAAGACATCACTTCAAACACATCCATAAAAACCACTTTTTAGTTTAGTTTTACGTCGAGTCAAACACTGCACTCAATATACGACTCTTGCAGACAACAAAAACAAGAATTACTGCAAAACCAATGCTAAGCATAAGCATTACGATTCCTATCAGAATATGAGACCAATAAATAATAACAAATATATTAATGCCATTAAAAGCCCCGACATTTCATTGAATTTCATTAGTTTATTGATTCAAAAATAAATGTCATTTCATAAGAAAATATTATAAAAATAAATCTAAGAGTTATATCAAATTGAACCTCCAATGAGAAAATACAATACTGTTTTCAATTGTCATTTAATTGTCGAGTAGTTGTCGTAACATATAGTGAAGAATACCTCCATTTCTGAAGTATTCGAGAAATCTAAGAGTTATATCAAATTGAACCTCCAATGAGAAAATACAATACTGTTTTCAATTGTCATTTAATTGTCGAGTAGTTGTCGTAACATATAGTGAAGAATACCTCCATTTCTGAAGTATTCGAGTTCTACTTCAGTATCAAAACGCATAATCGCTTCAAAACTCTTTCCAGTGTCGAGCTTTCAATACAAATATTATAGTATTAAATCAAATGCATTTTCACTGAACATTGAATTTATTTCTATTACTTTAATTGTTGTCTTATGTCGAGTGGACATATTTTCTGGGATATCGATGCTATAAATCTCTTTCCCAGTCAGTGATAAAGATTCGGCATTTTGTCCGGACATGAACTCCAAGGGAATGATTCCCATTCCAATCAAATTACTATCATTTAGACAATTATGAAATATTTGTTCAAACATTACAACCATTGATAAAACTATCAAACCTTCGGTGAATTCTTTCATAACTCTCTGCAATAACGGCTCGAACTCCCAGAAGATATGGTCCTTTTGCCGCCCAATCTCTCGATGACCCGCAACCATAGTCTTTGCCGCTAAGAATAATAAGCGGAGTTCTCTCTCGTCTATACAGTTGTGAGGCATCAAAGATACTTAACTGCAATTTATATTAAATATCTGTTTACTAAACATACATTCAAACACTTACCACTACAATTGCTATCTACTTGGATAATTGACTTATGAACAAGAACATTGTGTACTATGTGCAAATGTTATTAGAGAATGTAATATCTTAGGTACTGTAATGTTATATTTATATATTAAATTATTCACAATACTAAAAGTCAAATTACCATTTGTTCTCAATTAACTCTATTTTTATCTTTCAAAAGTATTACAATTTTTAATTTATGCAATTATAATCTGTAATGCAGTATTACAATCTATATTATGTAATCTACTATGTAATCGTACAAATTACCATTTGTTCTCAATTGACTCTATTTTTATCTTTCAAAAGTATTACAATTTTTAATTTATGCAATTATAATCTGTAATGCAGTATTACAATCTATATTATGTAATCTACTATGTAATCGTATGAAATTCTTATGTATTCTTTAATTTTTAAAAAATTCTTTGAGACGATGCCATTTTGTAGTTTTTATTGATTTTATATCTTCAAAGTCAAACCATTTTAGTTATGAAAAGATTATCTCAAATATTATTTCCATAGAGTTTAGAAAATCTTTTAGGTTTATTAGTTAATATAAATTTGTTGACAAAATATCCAACATAGAATCTATTATTATTATAGTATATCTAAATTTTTCTAATCAAGTACCTAACGTTATATTCTTAAAATCATTCATATTTTAGAATCTAAACATTAAAAGGTTCAATGGATATCCAAATGTATATTTGATACTGAAATCTAATGTATTCACAATACTGTACTGTATTGTGAAACGTGTAATTTTATTCTATAAATAATTTTTAAATATTTGATTAACTTATTCAACTAATTATTAGTATTAATAATTTAGACTATTAACTATAGACTATTAATTTAAAATATATTAATAAATAAAAATTTATTTAACAAAAATCTAAACCACATAAGGTATGGAATTCTTACAGAATTAAAGGCATAATACTATAAATATTTTATTGTAATTTATATAAGGTTAATTTACTATTAAGGTCTTAAATTAAAAATTATTTTATCACTTATTTATTATACTAAAAACATAAGTAATAGATTATTTATTGAAAATTAACCTAATAGAATTGTATTAAGACAATTATATTAATAAATGGATCCGAGTCTGTTCAAAGTTTCAATTTTAATAACTTTGTGTCATTTTCAACATTATCATATTTTTATAGTTATATAACTTATATAATGTAAACCACATTTTTCATAGCAAAACCTGATTCAAATGAAAACGCCCACATATTTTAAACCCTTTTATGAATTTTCAAATGTACCTAAATTTAATTCAATGTTGATTTCATTTTGTTGCTGTCATTATTTAATATAAAGAATTTTGGTGAAAAATATTTAAATTCTTGAAAATTATTACTTAATTTACGGTACTTTAAAACACTAATTTCTAACGTTACTTCAATATTATGATGTTTGTGTTGAGTATTGTGTATTACGCTCATATTTAATATTTAGCCGACAAATATCAGTTAACAAATTAAATACATTAACAAAACAAATTAATATAATCTTATAAAAGATTTTTTTTCTGGCTAAATAGTTTTAATTCATACAAATATAATTTACATTATTAGTAAAAATTTTAATAGAGCAAAGTATTCACATGTTCAATACAGCAGTGATTTCTATACAGTATTACGAAATTTTAATATAAAACTTAAAATTCAAAGAATAGTGTTGTTTGACATGAACTAAACATATCTTTGAATTATGTAAATACGGGGGCAGATGATAGACCCGGTGCTACATATTTATGTCATTATTGTACTATTTATAAACAAATCAACATAAGA